TTCAACTATACTGTCTTCCCCAACTAAACCGTCAGGAGAACAAGCCAAATACGGTTTTTCTTCATCGACGATGAGACCGCATCTGGTTACCTTTACTTGATATAGGCGTTCAAAGTGCTCAATGGCATTTACTTCGCTCTCCAATCCAAATTGTGTGTATTTGTTTCCTCTAAAAGAACTATACAGTAAGTGTGTTACAGTTTTAGCTGTGGAAGTTGTCTTGCGTAATTTGCAAACTTTCCCAAAATTAGAAGCGGTTATTCTTTTTTTACGTTCAATAATCCATAAATCGCTTTTTGATTGGTTTATTGTATCACGCTCAACATCTCTTCTGTTTAAGTTCTTCAAATCTTTTAGAAATTGGGCTGATTTTAGTTCATATTCTTCCAAGGATAGGTCAGGGATTGCAATTTCGTCCACCATACCGTAATGTTGATCAGCGGTCTGAAACGCTCTTTTCTTGATATGATCTAAAACAAAAAGAAATAATTACAAATAAAAGACGCGGAAAGGGGGCGAGTGATTGTGATAAACATACTTACGTTTTCTAGATCTGTTGTTGTACCGATGTAGTTGGGCGTCTAGGAAGATTTGTGTGTAATGTCCTGGTGGTCTTCCACATAGCTGCTTATGTAAAACGCCTAATAAATTACGTTGTTTGCAATTGTAGGATATGGCCGCCAGTTCACACCTTAATTGGTAGGAATTTTTGAGTGAAAAGTTTATTCTTTTACCTCCTACAAGTTTAGCTATGATGGAATTATAAGTTTCCGCAGGATTATTGTCTGTATCATACAGTAAACTAGAGGCGTGATCCGCAAGTCGTTGTATAATGGTATTAATTCCACCTAGGATCCCGTTTTGGGTATATATATCAACTAAATCATCCTAAAAATAAGAAAACACCTTTAGTATGGAATTAATAAATAGCAAATCAGAAACATTACCTTATTCTCATCTGAACCTTTGCAAAAGTAATCTTTGCAATGTACATGGCGGCCAAAGATATGGTAGGGACTATTCAATATATCCTTCTTTAAATTGTCAATCTTGTCATCAAGTGCATTATTTTCGGATTTCCTGTATGCGATAGCCCTTATAACTGCATTGCGGAAGCGACCTAGCATTGATGGATTTGACACATACTCTCTGTGAGGTTTTGAGTATTTGGTGTCTTTACTCAAATCGCTGAGTTTATTTATGAAGTTTCGAAGTAAATGATTGCGACATTCAATTTTTTTTATGTAAAACGATGGACCGTATGGTGCGATTTCAACTAAATGTTTGTAAACGCTACTGTCGCCATCCCCAATTAGTTTTCCATATATAAGATTGTGGCGCGTTATGGAATTTTTAAAACCTTCACCTACAATGGCTGATTCCATGGCTGTAGACGTCTTAGACCAGTTTCGAAAACAATCATGGTCTTCTTCTTTACGCCCTCTAGCACATAAGAAGCAGTACTTATTTTTGACACCCATATGCAAAATTTTCTTTGTTTTGGCTCCAATGATAGATGCCTATAACAATGATTGGGTTATGCTTTGAATAGATAACGTATTCTTATAAACTTACCACTCCTGAAAGGGCAGAATAATTTTTACGATAAGATCGCTTTGCCCATGCACCGTCAGCTATAACGCCAATGACTGGTATACCATCTTTCATTTCATCGGCAAGCTCAGCTTCTTCTTTTGCAGCGACAGTCATCAATTGTTGATTTAATGCATGTACAGAAGGGTATATGGCATTGTGATTTTTTAAATAGGTCACGTTTGACATTTGCGGTATATCCATGGCTGCAAGCAGCTCTGCTAATTGACTGTATCCAATTCCAATAGATAAGGACCCAATAATACCAGCTTGATTTGTGGAATGAAATGTTGCACTACCACCGCAACTTCTTACGGAATCTATTTTCCCACACACTTTACATTTAAACGTAAATATGCTTTCTAAGCCTTCAATTTTTTCCGATTGGATGTCCATGTCGAAGAAAGAGCAACCAAAGCCATCATGTCGTAGAGCTCTAAGAGATGCCAAAAAATGACCAATCTCTACAATTCGGCGACCAGATAAAAATAAGGTATCTTTTTGCTCGCAATGAGGTTCTGTTTCTAGATCACTTTCATAAAATGACATTTCCGAACCGTGTTCGTCTTCATCATTGGTTCCACTGCCTGCTTCATGATTGACGTCTGATAAATGTTCTTCACATTGAACCATGCAATTAGGTTTGTCATCTTCTTCTATACTACTAACAACATTCATTGCCATTTTGGTTAACTTCCTGAAACAACACAAACCGTATAAGTATAGGTATACGTAGCATGTAAGATAAAATTAGAACATGTTCAATTATTTAAAAAAACTAACATAAAAAATTTGTACTTACGCTTCTCGGGCTTTCTGCAATATCACCTTCCTGCTCCGTTTCTTGGTGGTGAAACTTTTTCTTGCTTTAGGCATTTTACCACAATACACACTTTAGTACGTTTGATATAACGCAAAAGTAAGTAAACAATATTTGAAAATCGCTAGGGAAGTTCTTTTATATGAAGTAGAGACGTAATTATATCATTATTATGCAATTAGTTTTTGAGATGCTCATTATTTTGTGTACAATATATCTATTTTTGATAATGTTTTTCAATATCGTAATGAGTAATTATAGGTGATTACAGGTGAAATCATAAGTTACATTATCGATAATAAATTATTTTATGTTTCCTATGTAATGACATTATTTACACAATTATTGCAAAATCTCCTAGAATTTGAAAATAAACATAATTACAACAAATGCAGGTATAGCGTTAAATATTTATAGAATTTTCCTGAATTGACAGTGATTATGTAAATTAGGTAAATATAATAAACCCTCATTAACTCAACAATGAGAAGGAACCTGTGACCTTCTTGCTGCAATTGGTAATGTGTGTTGCATAGCCTTAAATACAGTAAGGCGCAATCTTAAATTTTTGCAAGTGTTTAGAGGCGCCTTAAATGACCCAAGTATCGATGTGCATCACGAATCTGTGTGTAAAGCTAAGCCTCCGTCAGCTTACCTGCAATTGCCCTGTCTCGCACAGTCGGAAGTGAACTTCTTGAAAGACCTGTCTGCAGGGCAACTGACGGTTTGGATACCGCTCAGCGTACGCTCGTCGTGCAGCTCGTGCGTTACCATTTGCCAATCCGTACATGAAGTGCATGTCCGCGTATTCCGTGTTAGTAAAACGTGCCATAGTGTTTATTCACTTGATACGCGTCGTTGCAGACGGGATTTCGTGGGTTTAAACAAAATTCTGATCATGTGTCAGCCACACATCGCCGCCTGAGATCGCTCCGTGTGCACCGCCGGCCGGTTGGGTTGCCTACCTACAGGCGCGAAATTCCAGAAGGTAAATTTGGCTCTGGCACCCTTATTTTAGATTTCCGACCCCAAGTGTCCTATATCAAAATACTCCCCTACGCACCACCTACACGCTCCCAAACGGTGGCAGGTACTATAGGAATCACCCTGTATAATTACAAGAACAATCATAAACTGGTCACCTCTTCAAGGGCATATAATTGTGAATAATTTAGCTTGTAATTGTACCTGTACATCGATCCTTCAGAACGTTAATTTAAACTTAGGCCACGTTTTGATTACTTATGAATTTTACAAGCGAGTTTCGGATATTCAAGCATGGTTAAACACTCAACAGTAGTGCCGAGCGTGTAGAGTCGAACCATATATATGGTTTTCGTAATAGTCTGTTGTTGGACAGAGCTCTCTCCAATAACAGTTTCGTCAATAATATTAGCAGGTAAAAGTCGCTCTGTAAGCGGAGGGTAGATACAGTGATAACTTTAACCGGAAGGGTAGATAAAGTGAAACAGATGATTATGCATTCTAATGACATTTGTCATTCCTGTTTCAAATGGGATACTGAGCATGATATAAAATGACATGCAGAACATATGCAAGGCTGTTTATATGGAACCGACCGCAACCGAAGAACCTAAGTTTGCTATTTTTGACGTCTAAATTAAATTAAAAATTGTCAGAAGCTGAGGAATAGATTAAATTCCATTTTTAATATAATAATTTTGATATATGGAAGTATTTTGTATTAGGGGGAGGGGTTTAACCAAGTTTAATGAAAAATAAAGTATCTCATGC